TAACTGACCCGTGTAAAATTTTTACTAGGAATTATAATTATTTGAAATAAAAAATATAGTAAGGTAGCAAATATTGAATGGTAAGAGAAATTAACTATTTTATATAGTCAATACAATTGGAATATTTGGCAAACATAGGTACATGTAACTATATTCCCAAAAGGTGCTTTACCATATATATAGAATAATAAGATAGTGACTATAAATCTGTGTTCATTCTACTATATCTTCATGTTTAGATGAACTATAAATATATGTTTGAGGCCAAAACGAACTATAAAGTATAGTGAGATTATAGTTATTCCAACTATTTTGTTCTGTCAGTGTAGTAGGAGCCAAGTTAGCAAAGCATTAATTCTAATGATATAATTTACTTCTACTTTGACCCTGATGATATCTGGAATTTCTCTTTTCACTTTTTTTAATTATATAGATTGTATTATAGTAGGATGTTAATAGTAAGGCTGAAAGTAAAGTTAAAATTTCGACTCGAGTAGGTTAAAAAGAATCAAAAGAGTTTGATGTAGGTTTCAGCCTATTAAAATAGGTGTTAAATGGAATAGTAAGGTTGAAAATAGAATCAAAATTTCGACTCGGGTGAGTACTTTATCGCTGACCAGATTACATTCATGTTTATCATATATTGCTCATTTGCTGCAATAACACAACTCAAAAATCGCCCTTATTGAGTACAGGGTTATTAGTTATTAGTACAGGGAGGAAGGTTGGTATATGTACTATTTATAGCTAAAACAACGATTACTTACGATGTTACTTTACTAAATTACAGAATTGGGAAGTAACTCATTACTTGTAATGAACTTTTTGAACTTTTTTAACAGTTACTTCAACAGTTACTTGGGGAACGTAAAATGAAATTAAAATTATATAGTAATCGTATGTTAATTTAATAATCCAAATAGCACAGAGAATTCAAAAAGAATTAAAAAAGAATCCAGTCATATGTCACTAATTTTGAGTTTATTTTCAGATGTAAAAAGAATTCTTCAGAGTTTAGTTCAGTGAAATGAATTCTGTATGCATTTAAAATGGACTCAGAATTGGTGACATACGACTGATTCTTTTTAAATTCTTTGTGCTATCTGGGAAATTTATCAATGTATTTATGGAGTATATGATTAAATACTTTTACTTCTACAAGGCTATCATTAAATTTTTATTTTATATTAAGTACAGATTTGAAATTTGTCAAGTGGATTGACTAATTAATGTGATAAATATTAATTATAAAATTCAATTCTTACATTTTAATAAAACTTAAAATGTAAGATTTTTGTGTTTACAATAATAATTTACAATCATTTCAAGAAAGTAATTTAAAAGTAACGACTCGTTATTTTTTGAGTAACTGTAATGAGTTACTTTTCATAGCCAGTAACTTGTAACTGTAATTAGTTACATTTTCAGCAAAGGGAACTGTAACTAGTTACTTTTAAAAAGTAACTTTCCCAACTCTGCTAAATTATGCCAATATAATTTTTAAAATTCTCATACAAAGTTATAGCAATTCCAAACATTAAATCGTGTCTCCTGAAAAATCATAATTTTTAATTTTAGTTGTCATTGCTGCTGCAAATGAACGATACATGTACTATGTCCCTTAGCACAACAGACTTTAATGACACTCTATTCCTATACTAATGCACTGTGTGTGAGAGAAAAAATATCTAAGAAATAAAAATATTTTTTTCGCGGGGACTGATAGCATATACTTATTTATACCAATATAAAATATTTTTCACACAAGGAAACATACTTTCTTTAAAAAAATCTTGGCTTTTCATGAAAATGAATTGTTCATCTTATCTAAAAATAATAGAATTTAGATTTAAATAAATTTATTATTAATATTCACACACACACCGAAAATAAATATTTTTCAAATATCTTTTCCCTCAGTGTAGAAAATTGGTAAAATTGGGAAGAATTTATGTGAAAAAATTATAATATATATTTTCTCAGTGTAAATATTTTTCACATAAGGAAACACATACTTTCTTAAAAATAATAAAATTTAGATTTAAATAAATATATTATTAATATCCACCAAATAAATATTTTTCAAATATTTTTTCCTTCAATATAGAAAAGTAATAAAATTGGGAAGAATTTGTGAAAAAATTATAATAAATTATAAAGTTCCTGCCAAATTTTCACGCACCTGTCTACCTGAGTGCCAGTACTCGTTCTCCTCAGTTTCGATCGAGATACTGATAATTCGCCAATATACGTCAGAGGAGCTTGGGAAAATGGCGATCGCCGCTCCATATCATTAAGATCGCAGGACGACGGTCAACGACGTGGAGATATCGTGACGACAGGGTTCGCTTCTTCTCGTCTCGTCTTTCTTCCTCCTTTCATCGGCGAGCGCAACAACCCCCTGCTCTTCCTCCGCGCACTACTGACGCTTCTTTTTTTTTCTCGCAAGCTCGAAAAGCGTCGGACGAGCGCGACCGGTCGCGCACCGTCGCTCACAGGGAACGCGTAAGTTCGCGACGACAACAACGACGACGACGAGTGCGACGAGGACGACCCGGGTAGGGTACCTACGCGTCCCATCGACAGCGACGGCGGCGGCGGCAGCGCACACGGCAGCCCCCGGGGGTTCCCAGGGAGCCGTGATGCCGCCATGGGATCAGGTTTTTCTCGCCGTCGCGACGCGCCGGCCTCTCCGCCTCCGGGGCCCGCGTTCACGTTCCCGGCCGACAAAAACGAGCCACCCCGTGCCAAAAAAGTCGTTATGTAAATGCGCCGGCCTAGGCCGCGCCGGTCACAAGTATACACACCGGCGTGTACACCAGGGTGAGCTGGTATACGACGCGCAACTCGATCGTCCTGTGACGATCGTCAGGTTCGAAGAGACGAGGACGGGAAACACAGGGTGAAAAAAGAGAAAGATAATTAAGAGCCCGGGCTGTCTCGGTCCTCTCCTTCGTCTGGGGATTCTCGATGAATCGAGACAAGTTAATTGTAATTAATTTGATAATTTGGCTCGATTCATATGTTGGTAATTAATTTAATTGGGTACTAAACGCCGCAGTGGAACGGATCAATCGGAGTATTTCTGCAAGACCTCGAGATCTCCTAGAATGAAGGTTCAAGAGATGTCGACGAAAATTATTTCTATCACTTGAAATTCTTTGAAATTGTTTAGGATGAAAAAAAAAACAGTAGAATAGAAGTTAATAATTTTTTAAGATTGCAGAGCGGCGCATTTTGCGCATCCCGAGTGCGTCTCTGAGCGCACTTGGCGCGCAATCCTCAATTAAGGTCGAGTAAATAAATGCAGGATGAAATTATTAATAAATTCAGTTAATGCGGCGTGAAGTTGATGATGAGCGCGGACGATTGCGCGTGGTTTTATTTTTTAACAAAAGCTCGATCGAAGTGTCGCCGCGCGGATGACAGGCTTCGGTAGCTGATCAACAACGTGTATATCACATACGCGCGGTATTAATAAGGTCATGAAAACGAGAATAAGATGTCAGCCACGGCGATTATAAATAAATTGCGAGCGACAATAATAATGAGAGCGGGGAGGAAGGCGGGAATCGACAGTGGCAAAAACCGACGAAATCGCAACGTGGCGGAAATCTTTGGTGATTCCGTGTAGCGATGTCACCGAAACCGAGAGAAATTTCAACGATTTTTCGTCACGAGCTGGGACTCGTATTTGTGCGCAGCTTTGTTGTTCTTCTCTCTCTCTCTCTCTGCTTTCCCCTTTCATTTTCAAAAATCACATCTCAAACCAGGTAAACAGGTGTAAAAGTGTACAATTTACTAATTGATAACACCAAGACAAAAGTGTTGAGCATTGAATTAACACTTTTGCCTTGGTGTCATCAAAGAGCATTTAAGACAAAGCGAAGGAAGGAAAAGTGTCCTGTTAACCATAAAATTTCCCAAAGCGGTCTGATCGCACTACCATCTTCTCCATGAAGAGCGCGCGCATTCGAAGATCTGCCGAGCGACGACAGGAGTAGCGCACTAGTGACGCGCTCCTTTCTCTCTCTCTCTCTCTCTCTCTCTCTCCCCCCCCCAACCGCCCTTCCTCTTCTATGGTCCCGCCGAGTCGCGGTCCCGCTGACCCGCGCGACTCCAAGACACGGTGCTTTCACGTAGAGCGTTTTTTCGCGGGTCGCGCGGTTCGCGCCAGAAAAATCTCGCGGAACGAGTCGCCACCCCGCCATCATCGCCGCCGTCGTCCTTGTCGTCGTCGTCGTCGGCGGAGACTTATTCGCGGACCCGAGAGGAGGCCGCGTGCACGAGCGTGAGACCGGGACCCGGGTTCGTAATAAGACCCGTCGGCCAGTTTTTTTCAACCCCTCTCGCTGTCTCTCTCTCTCTCTCTCTCTCTCTTGCTTGCTCCTTCTACCTCCGCTCTTTCTTCAGCCTTACCCTGTGCTCTCCTCTCTCCTGCTTCCCTCTCTCTTCCTCCCCCTGCCCCCGCCGACGTCGGCACACCGGTATTAATTTATACGCGGTACGTGTGTGCACGCCGCTTTTTCTCGCAGTTCCTCGAAATTTGCAAGAAACTAGTCGGACATTCGAGCGGCTGGCTCTTCGCCTGGATTCGCGTGATCGTGCCGGCGCGGCTTCCATAGCTGTCTCTGAATGTCCGGGATGCGAGGGTGATATCAAAGGGGTTGTGCGATCAGCGACTTGGATAAGGGAGTATCCGAATTCCTTCGTTTCGATTATTAGGTGTAAGAGATGCGATGTAGGTCGCGCTCGTGATACATTCGTGTGATTCTTTGCTGGCCGGTTGAATTCACGGCTTCGAGATGGGCTGTTTTAATTATCGGACATTGTTAATCGTCGAGCGCGAGCGACGGGAAAGAACCGCGTGATCCGTGACGGGACTGATTGTCACGTCAGCTGTCGCGACACAGAAGGTCTCCGCCGATCGGCGTCGTCGTCCATTGCGCGCGCGGATATCTCTCTCTTAATGAACCTCTTTAACGATTTGCGATTTGCAGTGGTGCAGACGTCCGTGCCGCAGAACGAGGCCGAGCTGCAGCTCTACAGGGTGATGCAGCGCGCCTCGCTGCTAGGATACTACGACACGCTTCTTGAAATGGGTAAGACGTGGTCGAGGACAAGCTCGGTTATGACAATCCTAGATCCGTGTTAATAATCAGAGCTTGAGATTTCCTTCGCGTAAGATACTCAGATTTCAGTTCAGAGTTAAATGTGAGTTATTGAGTTAAACTGCGAACTTGATATCAAACAAATTTAAGTTAAATAAAGCTTCTAGAAATGAACGCAAATTTAATTTAGAACTGATAAGATTCCACCACTGACAAATTTAAGTTAAATAAAGCTTCTAGAAATGCAAATTTAATTTAGAACTGATAAGATTCCACCACTGACATTGAAATAAATAACATAAGTAGACCACGAATCTGTACTGCAAATCTGATGTTATATACATCTTATGGAAAACTCAGACTCAACTCTAAATTCAAATCTGAATATCTCACATAAGACAAATTTCAAGTGTAATGATTATTGATATTGTTCCTAAATATTTAAATCTTAATAAGTTTGAATTTTAGATTTGACAAGTCTTAAGTCTTAATAAATTACAATACTCCAAATTTGAGTTTTCTTGCATAATTCCGAATCGAATTTGCTCTAAAGACTCGAGTTTGCCATCAGTGAGACTGCATTGATTTCTTCATCCGCCGTAGTTTACCGCGCGAGATATAAGTTTTCTTTTTTCTCTCTAATGAAATCTTGAATAACACGTCGTACTGTCAACAGGAGGCGACGACGTGCAACAATTATGCGACGCCGGTGAGGAGGAGTTCCTGGAGATCATGGCACTGGTCGGCATGGCGAGCAAGCCGCTCCACGTCAGGAGGCTTCAGAAAGCTCTGCAGGAGTGGCTCACTAATCCTTGTAAAGTACCACCTGTGTGCTACGTCGAATTTCCTAAAAATCTTGGGTCGACGGGTACCCTTCTCCTCGAAAATCCTGCCCTAGACTCCTCCAGCGACCCCATCCGATCGTTCGTGCGTCTCCAGGAGTTATACGGTCACGAGTAACAATATTGTGTGTCTTGCAGCGTTGTTCCAAACGCCGGTGGTGCCGACGAACACCACTGCCAAGAGCTCGGTCGCCGCAGTGGGTTTCACGTGTGCTAGTCCGCGGCCACAGATGCAGAATCTGCCGACGGGCTTCACCACGACCTCGCAGACGTCGTTGACGCCGTACGTGTCGACGCACGCCCATGTGCCGCTCACGCCGTTGCCTTGCCGAAGCGCGAGCCCGGTCGTACCAGCGGCGGTCACCAGCGTATCCGCCCCAGCGCCCTCGACGACTTTCCGTCAGAGCCCGAGCCCGAATACACCTTTACCTTACGCCACCTCGCACAGCCCTAGCGTACTGCAGGTAACGAAGACAAGGCGACTAGAACTCGATCGGGAGGAAACGTATTATCGAGATTCATCGTCGGTGCGTACCACGACTGATCCACGATGCTCTCCTGGGCACTCTCTAAATTTCTCCGAATGAAATTCTACCTGAAGAGTAGAGTGACGATCGAGTCGCTCGAATTCCAGCGAATTCTTCACTTTAATAATTGTGCGATTTTTTCTCAAGAGCAGAAACGGGAAAAGAATTTTCCGGGACTTCGTGATCGGGAATAAGTTACTTTTCAAAGGTCATTCCCATCTTTTGAAATTGATTTGAGATTGATTACTTTTGAAAAGTAACTCACTTCCTAACCCTGATCTGGTTTCATAGGCACACACATTCCCTGATAAATAAATAAATAAATAGACGCTTTCAGAGCGAGGATCAATTTTCGTTAACATCGTTCCTTCATCTCTGTTCGCATTGTCAGTATGAGTTTATCCTTGCGCACGTTTTCAGGTGGGAACGTGCGAGTCCTCGTGCGGCAGCGGCACGACACCGAGCCCGAGTGGCGGAGGCGGCGGCGGTGGCGGTGGCGCACCTGCGAGCCCGACACAACCGACGCCGACCCTTCTGCAGTCGCAGGTGCAGCGACTCGCTGAAGCCGCGGAGAGGCTCGTCGCTACCATAAAGCCCCTCGATCCCAAGCCGCACAATGTAAAGAAAAAACTCTGCAAGAACCTGGAGGTGAGTCGTTAATTTCAAAGCGACGTCAGTCGCCAGACGTGTCCGAAATACGAAGCAGACCTCGAGGACTGTGCCTGCGTGAGCGACCGCTTTAATTGTGTCCCTTAAGAAGAGGCAAAACGACACGCGTCGGTGTACATCGTTAATTATAATTGCCCGCGACGGAGGTGGATTTCGTTGTAGATCGGAATTCGTCTCCGACGGGACTCTTCCGCCGGATTATGGTAAACTTTAGACGAATTAAGTATGACACGATATATATGCTAGAGTCCAAGCACTTATCTTTTGCTTTGACGTTTCACCTACCTTTACTTTATTCTCATATTAACGATTCAGTACTTTGCTTCAATATTTTTACTTTATTCTTAATATTAATTGGTGTTTACTGGAACTTGATGAGACGCGATGATATTACAATGTCCTAATTTTTTAAAAGAGCGTCGCTGCATTCTTGACGAGTTAAATTCTTATTTACTCGTTATTTCGATTGTTCCAACGAAGCGCTGGCTGGTCGCTCGACTCACAGACACAATTCTCGAAGCTGTTCTTCAGAGTAAGTTATTTTGAAGCACAACAAACTGTACTTCAAACGCATTACAGATGGTAATGACGATGTCCGACAGTGATCCGCGCAAAATGGACGAAATCCGGAAGTACGCGGCGATTTACGGCAGATTCGATTGCAAGAGAAAGCCGGAGAAACCTCTCACGTTGCACGAAGTGTCCGTGAACGAGGCGGCAGCGCAGATTTGCAGATTCGTGCCTGCTCTCCTCACCAGGAGGGACGAGCTATTTCCGTTAGCGCGTCGTGTCGTTAGAGATTCCGGCTATCATTACTCCAAGAATCAATAGTAAGTACGGCGAGTTAAACGTTGTTCCAAGTACACGATATTATTCCAGGATTGGGAAATATTACTTATAACGCCATTATTCTTACAAACTACTTGTTCTCAGTCATTGTAACTCGCCAATTATTTTAACGCACAAGTTTCTCTTCAGTGGACAACTCGTAACGAGTAATTTTTAAAAAGTAACCCTCCCAACGCCGAATATGACTCGGAAAAAAATTCTCACGCGTTACTGAATAGTTTTTCAAGTGATCAGTTTGTAGGATCGCTCGAAAATCGAGAAACACAGAATGTAAAAATGTTCTCGATCGTTTTCAGCTTGTCGGTGTCGCGGACGCGCGAAAACGGCGAGGAGACCGACGGTGAGCGCTCGAAACACCGGAAGCTCGAGCTGGAGGGTGAGAGTGAGGACGCGACGCAGGTTAGATCGCCCCGGCCACAAAAATAGATCGCTCATAATCGCACTGACCTGGCCGCGCTCGCATGGTCGCTAATCACTAACCACACGCCCGTCACGCATTAACCACCTGCATTCAATCGTGAAAACGCGCGAGACAGAGACGGACGGAAAAGGTCAAGTATAGTTGCTTGCCAATACACGTGTGCACGGCTTGCCGAAAAGTTTGCTCAGTTGGATCGAAATTCGCGATCAATCTTTGCTGCTTGTCGGGCCGCTTTGTATTACTCTGTTAAATCGCTAGGAATGACACCAAAGAACATGTGAATAAGACATAGGCTCTTATTCTATTATCTTTTATCTATTGTAACTGAAAGCCAATCTATCCAGAAAACACAACATCACATGTTAGTTGTAATTTCCTACTCAACAATATAACTGTTATATAACACGTATGTTATATAACAATTACATTGTTGAGTAGGAAATTATAACTAACATGTATGTTACATGTGACGTTGTGTTTGTTGGGTAAGGACTTATATTTTCTCAAAGTTAGGACAATGTGTGTCATTTGTAGAAAAGAAGTGAGTGAGTGAGGGAGAAGCTGCATCGTGCTTCATCAGTCTTAAAACTTCTTTCTTTTTTCTACTTTTGCTAGAGTTCCTTTCTCACTTCCATTCACATCGTTCCTAAAAATAATAGACAGGACGCAAGTCAATCAGAAATCATCATGTTTTGTTTTGACTCTGACTTTAGGGACTTCAAAGGCTTATGTATTTTACACGATTCACACCGCGTTCAATATCCGATGTACGACGATACGCGATATCCAATAGTAAAGTTTCTTTGCTAGAGTTTTCAGCTAGCGACATTTCTGTCTCCGCAAAATTAATTCTCCTATTGGATATCGGACGCAATGTGAATCCTTCATTATTCGCTCACTTTTCGCCCTGTCGATTCTAGATAATTTCACTTCGTATTCCTATGAATGCAATCATTTTCAACTAAAAGCGAATCATTCGCACTCTTCTGTTGCCTGCCTTGCATGCGCTATCGCTGAATCGTTAATTCGCACGTCTCGAATAAACTATGGCCGGTATTCATAGTCCGATCTTATATTTAAGATCATCTTAAGTACTGTCTTAAGATGTCATGAACTAATCACAGAACTGTATTCGCATCTTAAGACATTACTTAAGATGGTTTTAAATATAATATCATACTATGAATACCGGCCTATGAGTTAGTAAAATACGAAATTAGAGAAAGCATGAGAGTTTTTTTTTTTGTAGAGGGCTAATACGGAGTTTTCTTGAAAAAAATTGCATCTTATTCAACATAGCGAACGTTTGTTTAAACATTCGTTTCGCTATTGATTCATTCGACACGACTTGTTCGGACTCTACGCTTTGCGCCTGGTGTCCCAAGTCGTGTTTAGTTCGATTTGGCTGTCTGTATCACTTGAATCTGTCCCTCTTCTGACCAACTCTTCCTCTTCTTCTTTTCTTCCGCGTGTCCGGCTTGCCACTTTTACTCTCTGTAGCAGTTCACCGTTTCAGGAGGAGTTGGACCTCCGCTGTTCTGGCACGGACATTAATAATTCTATCACGAGAAGACACAGATCGTCGAGGTGATTATCCCTTTCGCCGAGACTAAGCCTTAGCGTGTAATCTCCTCTGCACCAATTAGGAAGACTAAACAGTATCAATCAAAGTTGATTCTACGACATTATGTAATTAACGAACGGGAAGATAGATTTAGAGATACATATATTAGATATATTAATATTATGTTTTCGGCATAAACGATCTAAATTAATATTACATTTTTATTACATATATGTGACACATTGGTGCATTATCGTTACGTATCGGATGAGTGAACATGTTGATGTTCAGATATGCGCAATGTTTTAGTCCAGTCTGGAGGAAGAAGAGTAACAACGGCATGTTTAGCGCCAGTGTGGAAGAAATCAGCGACTCGGACAGCCAATTCTCGTTCTCCAACGAGGAATCTTCGTCTATGCACGTAAGTTACAACAACAAAACGAAGGCGATATAACGCCATTAGCGTCATTATGCATTTTCACGTCGAAGACAAGAGTAAAATTCAGATAAACTCTATATATTGGCATATGTTCCAGGACACAAACGAGGCGGAGGCCGACAACACCGACAAGGAAGGTGATTTCAATCTGAAGGTGAGCATCGAGCGGGCCTGTGTACGTCCACATATCATCTTCACCTCTTTATCCTTTTTGTCGTCACTACGTGGCCACTAGAAAAACTGTTTGTAAAAAATGCTAGATGCGCGTACCGAGCAGGTTTTTTCATCTGTCGCCAGACAGGATAATGCAATACTCGATGTTTTCTTGTCTTTTTTATTATCGCTGAATAATGCATAATCTCCACAAAAAAACACACGTCGACGAAGACCGTGCATGTTCGTTTATAATTAATAGGGAAAAAAATAATGATAGAGACAGCACAGGTATGTTTGCCAATGGCACTTAACGGCGGATGAATAATTGTATTGCGCAGGTAATAGCCTCGCGTGGAGACAACATAATCGCCGTAGCGAATCCCGCGCTAATGGAATGCAGTCATCCTATAAAGGAGGAGCCAGCGGACGAGAAACCCACACTGTGATATTATTGCTTAGCGTTTACCGCCGCCATTGACGTCACGTCGGCGTGAACCTGCGTCCTCATCGTCGCCATCGTTGTTATCGCGATGTCATCGTCGTTTGGGCCAAACATTCTTATCTCAGCATGGAGCACGATAACACGTGCCGCAGCAACAAAGAATAGGCGAATAAGACTTATTCACATTAAGATTATTACAAAGTTTTGCATTGTATCTTGCTCTCGCTCATGCAAGAAACTTGTGTCAAGAGACAAACAGAGAGAAAGAGAGAGAGAGAGAGAGAGGAGAGAGGAGAGAAAGAGAAAGAAAAATGTATGAGACGCTGTTATCTAGTTCTAGCGAGATACGGACGCACGATATTGTATAGCGAGCATTTCTAGGAAACGATAGAAAATAAAAATACGTCGTTTAAATCAAAAAAGATCGTCGACTGAAGTACATATAGTATTATAAAATGTATATCGTAAACTGGTGTAAATACAAGAGTCTTTTTATACGCCACCGTGTACAGCTTGATTTCACACACGAGCACCTTATTTGAATTACAAAAACATGATTTACTTCCCGCATATTTTATTACACATATCCTGTGCAAAAAACTGAAAGATTCTACTTCTTGATCGTGAGAAATAGGAAAAAATTCGTTGAACTATGACTGGCGAAAATAATGGTAGTGGGATGATCCAAGAAATATTTTATAGTTAAAAATTTCTGTTTTACAAATGTATTTTCAGATATATAAAGATCCTTATTCTCAACACTTCTTTATCGATAAAAATGTTTCTACATGCACTTATACGCTAATTAAAAGGCCTATAAATCATCTAGAGAGGTGCTTTTGTTGATAAAAAATGTCCGAATAAGGATCAACGTATAATTATTTTCTACGGTGTTGTATATACCAATATTAAACGAGAAATGTCGCGTCAAACGTCAAAGAAAAATTGTAATTTTATACAACTACACCGAATAAACAAAAAAATTACGTACAAATGACATATTAATGCCATTTGAAATTGTGGACTTTTTCTCTAGTTCTCGTACCTATAGTTTACGGGAGCGTCCCGATTGACGACGGTACGATTGGACACAACCAACTGATGCAAAGAATTATCTAGTGAATTACCAGGTCGGACCAATTATTACAATCTATGTCCAATCGTACCGTGGTCAATCGGGTCCCACTCCTTAGACAATAATTTTAATTTCTGCGGACACTGTTGAAGTAGCAAGTGCATGAATTTCTCGGAGTCATTTTGACATAGAGCCTGAGCACAAAGATTGTCGTAATCGTTTACGACAGTGTCGTTGACGTAAGTCGGTGTTGGAAGTCAACGCACAAGGATTGGCGTAGACATATGCTGTATCAAATACATGGACGTAGAAATATCTGGACGGAGCGGTATTTCGCGGGTGTATATCAGTTGGACACGGGGCAATTGGACACAGTCCAATCACAAGTCGCTATTCCAAGGGACCCTACAAATGTCTCTAATCACACGGTACTGTGATTGGCTGTGTCCAAATGCACCGTGTCCAAGTGCACCGCTCCCGTATTTCGCGGGGAGTGAACTCACAGGGATGAGAGAAATGAAAGTCAGAAGTGATCACTAAATATGGCGGCGGCCTATATTACGGAGCGCAATAGTTGCGTTCGGCATTGTAAATCGAAGACGTCGGATTGCTCTTTTACCTCGAAAATGCACAGAAGTGAGGGAGATACGAGATCTCGTATCTTTTTCATTTCTATGCATCTTCGAGATGAAAGAGCAATCCGACACCTTCGATTTACAATGCCGAACGCAGCTATTGTACTCCGTGATATAGGCCGCCGCCATATTTGGTGATCACTTCCAACTTTCATTCCTCTCACCTCTGTAAATTTACTCTCCGCGAAATACGCTCAGTCCAGATATTCCTACGTCTGTGATTTTTCCATAAAAGATGAAAATTTACCTATCGCATCGCTTCTTGTCGCAGTATTTCCGCATCCTGGGGCCCTATTTTATCCGACAGGGAAGTTGGCTGCACTGCTTTGGGGTTTGATTGTGCAGCATTCGTATGTACTTGACCGGAAAAAAATTCCGGTTGGAAAACTATTCTTTTAAATCGTTTGTATTTCGTATGAAGAGTTTTGAAGTGCAATTGAAAAGATTTGTGAGTCATTCTATTACTTGTAATTAATTGTTCTTTTTTGGACCATGTATTTAGCCGGAAATAATGACCGGAGGTAAATTAAACAAAGGTTTGGTATGGTGTTGTTTGTATTTCGAATGAAGAGTTATGAAGTATCATTAAAAAGGTTTGTGAATCATCCGGATAATTTTAATTAAATATTAAAAAATCATATATTTGGCCGAAATATCGATCTCAAGCGCTGCAGTGGAAGTACCGTCAGGCATGATCAGTGTACTATCTAGTATTTCAATATTCCTGGTTCTTTTTCGGATAATTATGTACAATAAGGCCTTTTTCGAATTTTGATGGTTAGACGACACAGTTTCTCGAAAAATGAAGGGCATAATGTTGTACCAAGGAAAATCTCTACACGATATAATTTAAAGATCTGTTCTTTGTAACTGCACACTGCTGAATTAATGCAAAAAGTTAGAGTGAGAAAATATATACTTGCCTCACTTCAATTTATTGCACCAGTTCAGCAGTACAGTTACAAAGAACAGATGTTTAAATTATATCGTGTAGAGATTTTCCTTGATACCAACATTATCCCCTCCACTTTTCGGGAAACTGTCGCCAAACCAATTTTGATATCTTTTTGCAGCTCTTTTGGTAAAAATATTTATTTTGACTCCAATATTAATAATCAATTGGGGGAGTCCGAAAAATATTCAAATTATATATTGTTTTAAATTTTTTTTCACTTGTCGAACGTTGCTGCTTTCCCACAATTTAAACAAGTTACTGATCTTTTAATCACATTATGTAACTGCAATATCGAACGACTAGCGGGAAGCTGCGCCCCCCCTCAAAACTAACCTAACCCAATCTATCGTCACATTAGCCGTTAGTCATTGTTTACTAAAAAATTATTAAGAAAAAAAGTTGAATATTTTAATAAACAATGACTGACGGTT